GATATGAAACATTATTTCTATTCTCAAGAACAAGAACTGGCATGGTATCTCATAGGAAACACTTAAATTACTTCTTGAATAGACAAAATTACTTAGCTGTTCTCTGAACAAATGCATTCAACCAAGTAGTTCAAGAAAAAAATAAATAAGCTCTTTGTATCAGTTAATTTCAGATTTTGGTTAAAAATGGGATTTTTGAGACTCAGTTACTCTCCCACAACCAGGAAAGTTCATTTGACTTGGTATATATTAGATTATCACAGGGATGGGAATATCACTAGTTTCATTCAACACAGAAAAATGGAATTGTGGAAATAGCTTTCTATATGTAAGATGAGTGAATTTCTAAGAGGATACAAATATACTCTCTAACTTTAAGATATTCATTTTAACTAGAGCATAGATAACTTTTCTGACCCTGTTGGTTGTATTATGGAAAGTTTTCTGTTAACATCAATAGTAGAAATAAGGGGTGCTAAGACCCAAGGAGGGGTTGCTATGAGTCGGGGCCGACTCGACGGCACATAACAACAACAACAACAAGACCTACACCAGATAATAGTAACTTCTCTATCCATATGGGCTGTGTCAACTGAATAGACCACATGAACTGAGTTTCTATATAGGTATAATAACATCTGTTCCAACCACTATCTCAGAATTTTCATAAGGATCAGATGTAAAAACTTTAGTCTTAAAAATCAAAACACATTGAATAACAATGATAATAATTATTACTATTATCATACAGTTTTTTGCCTTTTTAGAACAACTGAAAAAATAATTTTAAATAATGTGAACTATTCATTTGAAGATATTCACTTGATCATGAAGATGAACTATACTGAGAAATGTTTTAATATTGAGCTCAATTTGTTATTTTAGAGATGTTTAATGTTTTCTTGCTTTTATCTTATTTCAGAAATGTTCAACCAGAACTGAAATCACTTGCAATGGGTTTCCATTCACTGACTATACGATCACTGGGTACGATAAGGTTATAATTTCTTGATATAAATATTCATGCCATAGCTCTAAGACTGAAAGTAATTAATTTCCAATTAAAAGAAAGTTAAAAAAAAAGTGTATGTGAGAAACATTTTTCACTTGATAAATTTAAAGTAATAAAAGGCAGAGGAAAATTGAATGAATTTGATGATTAATTTAAAAATTTAAAATTCTCTAAAAGAGAATTTGATTATTAATTTTCAAGTCAACCTGGTAAAACTAAGAGATCATCATAATTTGTACTACTCTTCATAATATGTAGATGATTAGTCCTTAAAGTCTTTCTACACTCAGTTTAAGTCTCAAAGTAGCTGGTGAGGCCTGGGAATCTGATCAAGTGGAGATTATGCAAATCAACGGAAGCTGATTTTAACTGTCCTACTTTTGGCTGCGTAGATCTCTAAGACTGAAGGAGCTAACATTTATCAGAGGTCAAAAATGCAAACAAAATGAGAACTCAAACTCTGGAACTGAGCTTCTGGAGTTAAGGCAGTGTTCTGAATGAAAACAAGTTCAGAAATTGTGTGGATTTTTTTGCTGTTGTTGGCAAAAGACTCCAGAGATTAAGGCCTATTTCTTCTGTGTAATCAAATGTGAGATTTAAGAAATTATCTTTCTCCCTTGCTGCCATTTGTGTTTTTACCTCGCAGGTTTCTACTGCTGTTAGCAGTTTAATAATTTCTAATCTAACCCCTATTAGTACTCCTTAGGAGCTCTGGTAGCGTA